GCTGGTGTGTTTCTTCCACGTGGGCTTTGTTTCTGAGCTAGATGGCCGCTTGTTAAAAGGCATTTTAATATTGTCTTCCAACTCATAAACAGAATGTCCTATTTATTTAGGCCAGTCAGTTGGTCAGTGGTTTGCATCCACTTGTCCCTCTGCAGGAGAAGAACAAGGCTGTCTACCTTAAGATGCATAGTCTCAGAAACCCAAAGCAGAAGTTCTACTTGAATTGCAGTCAACCCAAATGCAGTGGGTTTGGATTTGCTTGGTTAGTTTCTTCAATCAAGAATTCAATTTATCCCCATTCCAGACTGAGTAGGGCCAAGGACCTACTAATGTTTCATGTGTAGATTTTATATCCTGGCACATAAAATTGTTTTTTGTTGTTAGAAATACTCAAGTATAATATTCCTCCATATGCAATTGACACTGATTGTAGTCTTCACATTGCATTAGGTAAGCAAATCTGCACAAGATCTCTCAAAGGTTGAAAAACAAGAATGTAACTTTGTGGATGAAGGTATGCCTGACCCAAGCCATGGTATTTTCCAATCGCTTCATATGCACATGAAATTTTGGACATTTGAATAAGAAAGACTAAAGAAAAATGTATGCATTTGAACTATAGTAGTATCAAAGAATACTGAAGGTACCATGAACTGCCAAAAGAATAAGCTCTGTAATGGAAGAAGTACAACCAGAATGTTCCTTAGAGGCAAGGATGGCGAGACTTCTCACATACTTTGGACATGTCAGGAAAGACCCGTCCCTGGAGAAAAGGACATCATGCTTCGTGGAATGGCGAGGCAGTGAAAAAGAGGAAGTCCCTTCAGGAGATGGATGGACACAGCGGCTGCAACAATGGGCTCAAACAGAGCAATTATGAGGATGGCGCAGGACTGGGCAGTGTTAACAGTCTGTTGTACATTGGGTTGCTATGAGTTGGAACCAACTGGACAGCATCTAACAGCAACATATTCTTCAGGTTGTACAAGCATTCTGTCCTTTCTGAATTATTTCTCTCGCATTAGCATAAACTCACTGCCCGCTATGCTTTCTATTTCACCTATCTTTTATTTTTTACGATTTATTATTGATTAGGTGAAGGTTTACAGAACAGATTGTAGTTTTATATACAACCATTTATACACATTTTGTGTCTGTGCATTTCAGTCTCCTCAATGTACCAGCAATTATCTCCCTTCCTTCCTGTGTGTCCTGTTTCCATTCCTCCTCTTTTCCTTACTCTTAGCTTTGTCCTTTAGCACATGCTGCCCTTTTGATTTTAAATGGTAGATTGTTCTAACACAAGGTGAATCCATTCCGTTCCAGACCTGAAGGGTGACTGCAAGTCATCTTAGAGGTCCCACTAGTCTCTAAGCAGTATGCTTGGTCTTTTTCACAATTTGAATCCTAGTCATATTTTCCTCCCCCTCTATTCAGAACCTTCTAATGCGATCCTCTTCAGAGCAGTTGTAGTGTTGGGGCACCATCTAGCTCTTCTGGCCTCAGCATTGTGGAGACTGATGTTTTCATGGTCTACTAGTCCATTGGACCAGTTGTTTCCCTCCCTCATGTTAGGCCAGGGAGAAAACAATAGTTTCACCTTAGCCTCACTACTTAATATTGTCATTGTGAACTGTTGTGCCAATTGACTTTGGTGTCTTCCAAGACTAGGGAGCTTGAGCCCCAGGCCCAACAAGGTGTTCGGTTATGTCTAAAAACTTTGTCCACTGTATGATCCACCACATTCATGGATATATTTACAGCAAAGATAACTAGGCATATATAAATATCCTGCCTAGTGTTACAGCTCTTTTAGAATTTGTCTAGCAGGTTTTCTGGTTTCTACCAGAAAGCCATAAATAAATAAATAAATAGATAGATTAGATAGATAGATAGATAGATAGATAAATAAAATATCCTGCCAAACCTATATATCTCCATGGATATACCTTCCCTGTCTGTGGGGGTAAAGGGGAGAGGGAACCCCACAAAACATCACAGGTTCGGTAGGCGCAATTGTACAGCGATAA